TTCCTGATGTATCTGTAATATAATCTGTTATATCATTAATCTATAATTAATGTATCTGACTGATTGTAATCTGTTCCTGTATTACTCTAAGTATTTTTCTTGGTTATGGTCACAGTTATGGAGTCCTGCTCAGTTATGTCCACTTGTGCATTTCTTCTTTTATTTTGAAATGCAAGTGTTTCAAACACAGTCCTACTTATTTGTGGCTACTCAGGATATTGTCTTTTTCAAATCAAAATACCTCCTGACTTGAGACTGCACCAGTTGGCCAAATCTTCCTTAAAACCAGAATGTACTCCAGTGACTCACTTGGGTTCAGAAGTGTCACAGGAGTGCTCCTCCTAGGTTTCAGCATCTATTTTAGCAACTTCTGAGGCAAGGATGCCAAGTGGGTTGTCATCCAGCTTTTGCACACTTTGCTGCATGGTACAAGGAAGCTGCCTTTGAGTGCCATTATTTGTCATATCTTAGTAGTTGCTGTTTTAAAACCATTCTAGAAGAACCAATATACTTTGCATTAGCTTTACAGCGAATTATATGCTTCTATATCCACCAATTTGTACTGAATATCTTACTCCTAATCCATACATCAGCTTGTGCAGTGGTCTGTGTAATGTGTACTGTTCAGGCAGTGGTATTGATTACTTGGAGACTGTTTAACATACTAGTAAGGATGGTATTAAAGCAAATTACAGATTTTACATAGTTGTTGCAGTGAAACTTAGGCGTGTACTGTTCAGGCAGTAGTATTGATTACTTGCAAACTGTGTTCAACATAATAGCAAGGATGGTATTAAAGCAAATTACAGATTTTACATAGTTGTTGCAGTGAAACTTAGGTCTATACATCTCAGAGACCCATTGATCTTTATTTTCTGCATTTTAATATGCCAGCAATATAATGTGATTTTATTCTTAGCATAGACCAAAAATTCCTTTAGAAATTATTGAGGCTTGTTCTTGTTAGAAGGAATAAAAATTTATTTAAATCGATGCAATACCTTCAGAGTACAATTAATGGGTAAACAGTTTTATGTTATTGATGAAATAAAAGTGCTTTTTTCTGCTGTGAATACTGATTAATAGAAATTGACTTTTGTTCCCATGCAGTAGATTTCCCAACACCAAAGACTGAACTGGTACAGAAGTTTCACGTGCAGTACCTGGGCATGCTACCTGTAGCTAAACCTGTGGGTATGTAACACTTCAGTGAATTCCTTGCTTAAACTCTCATGGCTCATCAACTGCCAGTGCATGACTTTTGGAGGGTAGGAGCTCTTCTGTTTCAGTCACATGAATCAGGCATGAAGATATCTAATATTCAGGGCATCACATGAACATGTGTTTTGCAAACAGGGTATTCTGGGAGCTGCCAAGAAGGCAGAGTGTCTTTCTACAGCCTTCTGTGAATATGAGCTCTGCTACTAATGAGAAGGGCCCTAAAGAACTGAAACAGTACAAAAGCTAATCAAGATACTGTCCTGTTTTTTTTTTTTTGTAAGACAGAGGCACCTGCTTTGGTCTTTCAGATGGAGAAACACAACTTCATAATACCTTCTTCTATTATCAAGTTAATTTTAATAAGGAATCCAAAACAATCTGTTTTCTATACTACTGTGTGAAGATAAAAAAATCTTATTTTTTATATATTATTTTTCAGTATTGCATTTTATTCTCTTTTAGGAATGGATACTCTGAACAGTGCCATTGAAAGTCTAATGGCTTCCTCTAGCAAAGATGACTGGTTGCCAGTTACCATGAACGTTGCTGATGCTACTGTCACAGTCATCAATGAAAGAGTAAGGCAGACCGTGTCATTTAAAACACAATTAAAATAATATGATTGTTGAAATCCAGGAACTCAGAAATGCTAATAGGGTTAATTCAAACTAAAATTCATTTGCTTATTTTGTATTTTACTTCTTTCCAGAATCTGCAGAGACTCTTACTGCTCATATCAGCTTCAGTTTTATTTATCATTCCAAGCATGTTCTCAGAAATAAATTATTATAAATATTCATTATATAATTAAATTCAGTGTTTTCCTTTCTAGGAATTTTAAGCCTAAAATGTTGTAGGTTAAGCCCAAAGTAGTAGCAATCCTAAATTCCAAACTGCATTTGCCTTACTCTTGGTATGGAAGCCAAGAGTAATATAAAAATCTGTGTTACAGAAGAAAATGTAGAGCATTTTCCATAGAGTTTAACGCAGTGGGACTTATTAATGCTGTTTTTTATATATGTCTTTTGATGAGGTACTAAACCAACATCTCTATAACATACCAGTGATAGGGGAGCATGCTTTGGAGTCATTATACCCATGTTGTTTTGTTTCTTCACAAAACAAGCAGCTTCCAAAATGTACAACATTTTAAAATTTTGTGGCAATGCTCAAAGCCTCGGTGACAGCCTAGAAGGGGAGGTCCAGCCCAGGCCTGAGCATGCTTGGTTCATGCAGACAGATAAGCAGGAGTTACAATATCAGGATATCCTCCCATGTAATCAAAATTGAAAGTTCCAGAGTATCCAGTAGTGATGATCAATCCTTTGGCTCATGCCCAGAATGAAGAGGAGGTCATGGTGGAGTGTCGTGTGCGGTTCCTGTCCTTCATGGGAGTAGGCAAAGACATCCACACGTTTGCCTTCATTATGGACACAGGAAACCAGCATTTTGAGTGCCATGTTTTCTGGTGTGAACCAAATGCGGGCAATGTATCAGAAGCTGTTCAGGCTGCTTGTATGGTAAGTGACCTTCTGCAAAGGCATCTAATAGCACTTTAAAGTTTCACTGTCTCCACATATGAGCATTTTTTCAAATTTGTAATTATATTAATTTCAAGACAAAAGAAAAATAAAAATAGGAATTAATATTATGATATATTTAATCTATTAAAATCCAAACATTTTAATGTTTGAAATACCAGCTTAGAGAACAATGCTGCTTTAATTATTTTCTCTCCTAACCTCTGCAACATCTATGTAAATTAGAATTTTTTTCTTTCACTACACAAATAATCTAATGCCAAAAAAACATTTTGCTTGGAGTCACATTATGAAATCCAGAAAATAATCCTTTTTCAAGGATAACTGAACCCAGAAAACTTACTTCTCAGTTTTCAAATGGGTATTTATATGATTTGTACCCATATTTGTTGTGTGCTAATGGACAGTTTCTGCCCAAACATTGGCAGACCAATTTCCCATTCACTTCAGCTGAGCTTTTTGTCACAGCCAAAGCAGATGTTTGACAATAATTAAAGAGAACATACTAGAAGTGTATTTAAAATGGCCTGTGAAGTTACTTGATCTGGTAATGACTGCAGAATGGTTTGCTGTGTTGCAGTTGCGATATCAGAAGTGTTTGGTAGCCAGACCTCCCTCACAGAAAGCCCGGCCGCCCCCACCGCCCGCAGACTCGGTGACCAGGAGAGTTACAACCAACGTAAAAAGAGGAGTCCTGTCTCTCATTGACACTTTGAAACAGAAACGCCCGGTCCCTGAGATGCCATAGCTGCTTCAGAGAGAAGATTCTCCTGCCATTTGACTGAGGATAGCAGTAGCTACACTAAGGAAATGAATGGACGCTGTCTGACCTTCCATTTCAGTTGCTGATGCTTTCTCTTCAGAGAATTTACCCCTGTCGAAGCAATGTTAGACAAGCATGTTCTCTCGTTCTTGCCACCATCATGTGATATGAAAAGAAGCATGAATAATTTTTTTTGCTGTCAGTGAGTTACATCATGGGCAATGGAAGGTCTGTTTGATTGTAAATACATGAACATTACCTAAACTCACACAGAAAAGAGAATATGGCCACGTCCCTCCCAGTGAACTCATGCTAAAGTCCTTGGAGTGAATGATGCCTGAGTTAAAAATTTCACCTTCTTGAGCTGGATTTATCATAAACCAATATTAAATCCTACAGCACTTTGCTCTGTTTTCAACACTGGAATAGGTATCAAGTATTAGCAACCATTGAATTACTGTAGATTAAATACCAAGTTTTTATTTTTTACAGAACTGCATCTGTTAGTTTTAAATTGTCTGTCAGCATTGGTCTAGCAACTACTTTAACATCTCCCTGACATGTTTTTGAATCATAGTGTCATTATGTCATCTTCTGGTTGCTCATTATGGTCTTACAGAAGAATTTTGTTTAAAACAAACCAGTGATGAAAAATCCAGAAGTGTTTTCAGTAATTGAGTTGCAGGGTGATCCACTGAAGCTTTTAAGCTTTAAACATACAAATTCAACTGCTGGCTGTTAAATTTATTCTCCTAAATCTGTCATTAATTCCTCAAAAATAGTTTGATGATGGAGGGCTCAAACCAATCAGGAATAAGAAGTAGTAGTTAGTGATTTTATTCTCTTAAAACTGTTATAGAGACTAAACTATTCCATACCTTTTCTACACAAGTGTTTGATGAAATGTTCAGTTCACTGTCTGGTTGCATAATTCCCCCTTCCCCTCGAGGTTTGTTGCTGAATACTTAGCATGCCAGAAGAAGAACAATTACATTTCTTGTTATTTACAAAACTTCCTGAAATTTATTTTACTTTTAACTCTCTTGTAACAAAATAAGAAGAGAGTTGTTTTTTAACAGGGTGGTGTTTCAGGTAGTACAATTGGATTTCACTGCTTTTGCTCCAAAGACTTCATCTAAATGATTTGCTTTACACACCTGCAGACCAAAATCAGCCCAGCATTGCCCTCAAAACTGTACCTCAGGCTGATTTTGAAATGCAGTCATGCATCTTCAGTCTCTTCCTTTGTCATCTTCCATCTAAACCTGCAGATTGGTACAGATTTTGGAAATGGAACATTAAGTATGTTTAACTAGTGTTAAAAATGTTTTGCCTCCATTTATAGCTAGGTTCCAGACTGTAACTGTCTCCCAAGTCTGCAAATCTTGTGATAAAGGAGCACTGGCAAAGTTATTGTTACAATAACTCTTTTCTTATTTTAACATGCAAGAGACTGTTATAAACAAACTATTTTCTTTTTTATTTCCTTGTTTGAAGAAATTAATGACCACACCTGGCGACATAACTTAGGAACACAACAAGAAAATAATGATGATTCAAGAAGTTTCTGCACTGAAAAATGCAGGAAGATCATTACCAAACTCAGTGTGATGTATGAGCAAGTGTCAGGTGAAGGCTGGCTATGCAACTATTGTAATTAAATTTAGCTTTCTACAATACCCTCTGAAGAGCTGATCCTCTACGGATCTCAGATCTGTTCATGACCACGATTCTGCACCTCAGGCACTGAAGCAACTGTTTCCCCTCTCAAGGCTCACGCTCTTGCCACATCCTCTGCACCACCTCTGTTGCCTGTACAGCTGGAGAAGCTGCTTATGCTGAGTACACAGGGAGAGCTGGAGGGGAGGGGTGCAAACAAACCCACCCCCTTCAGCAGTACCCGTGGCTGAACTGACCACGGGGCCAGATCACAAAGCATGGGGATGGCAGCTTGCATGTAGCTTCTGTAGTTCCCAGTGCTGATCCCAGTCACCTCTGCTGGCAGCAGTGTAAAACTCACCTCCTAGCACAGAATCACAGAACTGTTTGGTTTGGAAGAGACCTCAAAGGATGTCTAGTTCCAAACCCTACTGGGGGTCACTTTTCACCTTACAAAGTTGTCCATTCAACCTGGTCTTGAATATTTCCAGGGATGACTGCTCTCAAACCATGGTGGCTAACAGGTACCCTTAGGTAGGATTGTGAAGTTAGGAGATAAAAGTTTCCTTGTTTGTCATTGTGCTAGTGATTCACATTTTATTTTATATTAAATACTTTGACAGTGTCTTTTTAAAGTCCCTGCTGACAACGTTGTGATTTGGGATTGGCAACTGTTGTACAGCAGTCAACTAATTTTAAACAGTGTAATTAAATTTTGTCATTGCATCTGCACCATGCTGATTCTCCCCAAGAGAGATCCAGACTCTCTTTAACTAAACCAACACTTAGCAAACAGCAGTGTAAAGGTTCTACATGTGTGTTGTCAAGGCTAGAACATCTGGTTAGCAATAGATGCAACTGCAGGCAGGGCTGAGGAGAAGACAGAAAGGGGTTTGAAAAGCTGTACATCACTCGCCAGTGTATGTTTTAAGAGGTTATGTCTGTTAACAAAATGCTGTTGATTTTGCAAATATTTAAGTAGTGTGCTTGATGATTTGACTATATGTGGCCTTTTTGCTTCAGTAGAGCTCCTAATTTTCCAAAATATTTAATATACACCCAGGTGTTTGCAGAATCAGAGCCTAATATTGCAAAGCCGATTATCTTTTGTTTCACAATATATTCAGACCATGGCCAAAAAAAGTATGTATGAGGTGTGTGTGTGTTTTTGAGCAACTGCAACTGTTCTAGTTGATGTTATAGCAACCCTTCAGTTATCTATGCATTTTTTATAATACCTAGTGATTCTGTAGGCCGGCAGCCATGTTCACTATGCCTTGTATGTCTGATGCCATATTCTAACTTAACCTGTTAAATACAGCTTAAAATATTTTTATTTTATTTATTCTATTTTTACTGAAATATCCTGCTTTATTATGTTGATGTATTGTCTTTACTGGATGTGCTCTTGTAACATTCTCCACTCTGTATACTATAGGTTGCCTAAAAAAAGGCAGGCTTTGTAATTATTTATAGTCACATTTTTATTGAAGTCTGTAGAAGAATCATGTAAAGCAAAGCTAACTTGGTAATTTTTTTCAATGCAAGTAGTAAGTTAGAGGTATCATGTCAGTCAGTCATGTCATTAACACACCCCCTTGCAGAAGCAAGGAGATTTATATTCACAGTCAATGACTAATAGATAAAAGCCTTTCTTTTGAAATCTGTAGTGCTGGCTGTAGGTTTTATTTAAGCCACTTACTGTTTCATTTACAGGGGAGCAACGAGGTGTGGGAGATGCAAGGCTATGGAGGCCACCTACAGGGTGGTTAACTGGGAATAACAAAAACAGAATCCATTCATACAGTAAAACAAGGTTCAGTGATATACTTCCTGTGCAGAGTCACCTGTACCTACAGAAATATTATGCCCTTCAGTGGCAGAGGAACAAAAATTGTGGAGTATCTAATAGCTCACACCAGTGCTGTCACTAAGGGTTCTACATTTCTTAGTTTTATCAATCATTTCATAGATCATTTACCATGGAATCTAAAAGTGTTGGTGCATCACCCATGGAAAAGAGAACATTCTCATTTCAAGAGCCAGTACGGGCTCAGCATTTCAGCATTGGCCCTGAATGCATTACTCTCTTCTTGGGCTCATTAATTAACACATTGCCACAACGTGTGCTGTCCCGTCAGCCCATGCAGGTTTGATTTAACAACAGTAAGACAGAAGGAAACACAACAAAGTTTATTAGCAGAGCCCAGTCTTACATAAAAGTACATGACTGACAACAAAAAGGACAATTTTCCCTGCTGTTGACCACTTCTCCATATTTAAATGTAATCTGTTCTGAGAATAAATTTAGCTGCATAAAGTGATTGTCTCAACTGTTACTGCTCCATGAAACTGCAAAATTATTTTCAAAATGGTGGCTGAGGGAAGGGAAAAACATACTGGTGGTTTAGAGGCAACAGCAGTACTATGAAATCTGAATCAACAGTTTCTAGTTGAAAATTACAAATAAACAACTGGATTACAGAAAAATAGTTACATAAGATACAGTTTCATTGTAAAAAGACTCTTACAGGCATCTACCTACAAGCCATCTGAAGTCAGTCCCAGGTGTTGCCACCATATGATGGTCCATGCTTACAAAGTAAGCTGCTGACCTGCAGTTGAAATATTCACTCTCTGATATTCTTGGTAAGACATCAAGATTCTGACTGGTTTAACCTCCATACTATGTCAAAAATGCAAATTCCTGAAAGCAAGATGAGTCCAAGTGTGGGACATCACAGCACATATTAGGTAAGTAGCCCAGAAATTCTGTTGTTTTACAAGTAATTTCAGCTTTAATAATGAATGATACAGATCTTGATATTTTTTTAATCATTATTTAACTGCAGAATCTCTTAAGTTTATTTCAGGAATTTAACAACCATATTGGAAAAAAAAAAATCCATAGTGTCCATTCCTTCCATCCAACATGCAGAATCTCTCCATCTCCTAGATGGTTTTGAAATAATTTTTTTTTTCTGGTTCTACACATGGATGTGTATGGGTCTAAATCTATCCTTACAGGTTTGTTCAGAAATAAGAGTAAAGTTCATTGTGTTACTGGAACAGGCAAGGAGCATGGATTGCTCACAGGGATATGCAGAAGGTGAGGGATGTCTTTGTATAGGACAGCTGGCCCAGATTAAAATGCTATAAGAAATTTTCACTGATTCAATGAAGCAAGGATATTCATCAGATGAACAAAAGCCTACTGTCTACACTGCTGGGTTAATATCATTCACATCCTTTCTTAAAAAGGTACTGCTGATCCAGTCACTGACTGGTGCAGGTGAAGACAAAATAGAGATGTTATAACATTTTCTCTGCCTTATCTAAATCCAGACCCGTATGTCCAGTTGGTTAAATCCCACACTATAGTGGTGATGTTCCTGGCAACGCTCTTCCCAAGTATCTGAAATGGTTGCCTAGAGGAAAATTTCTGGGCCACAGATACCTTTCTGTATTGCTGTGCTGTCTCTTTCATTTTTACAAGTTCTAGATACAAATCAGATTTATTGTTGAAAGTATCTCTATGCCTCCTTTTATCCTCTCAGATTACATGACAGCTGTAGATATTTTACAGTTCTTTTATCTTTGCTAGCAAAAGGGAGTAGCTTAGAGGCCCACAGCTGTTTCCAAAGACAGGCAGCTACTCTTTGTCCAGTCATTATTCAGCTGACTAGTGGTAACATTGGTAAAAATGTTACTTTGACAGTAGCAGTTCTTTTCAACTAAGAACTGTTTATGCTAAGAAATTGGTAAAAAGCAGTTATGAACCATGACATAGTCTGATGTGACATTATGACGACAATTCAGTAGTTTTTTAGCATGACAATATTTTATCTGTTTTTCACTGTTAGTATTTCAATGCACAATTAAGAAGAAACCAAGAGAACACACTAGAAAGCCTATGCATGGGCTTTAATGTATTTGGCCAGTTTCCTGTACAAAAGTTCACATCTAGTTTTAGAAATACAAGGCTTATTTTCTATGCATCAGTCTTAAGTGGAAACTCACAAAAATGGTATCTAGCACTTCTAAAGAAAGGCCACTTTAAAAAAATTCAGTCTCACTTTAAAAACATCAATTTGAAACTGATTACCTGTACAGGTTTAGATACAGTGAGGGGTTGGGTGTATGATTTAACTGGTCACTTCAAAGTGTATAGCAAGAGGCTATATTTTTTGACCTCACTTCCCCCAACAATCTATCAGCCTTAGGCAGCTGAATTCCCTTCACTTAAAGTGTGATTACTGGATGAAAAGTTAGTATCTAACATGGATATTTCTATATACATAGCCCATAAAATATCTTTCCCAAGGCCAGATTATCCTTCCATAAGTATATACTGTAATTCACGACTATTGATTAATATATAGGAATCTTCTTTACAATGGGAGGGCAGAGTCTGAAGGTTCATAACCAGGGTGGTGGAAATATCCAACCACTTGGACCCTGTGCTCCAGTCTGGCCAGGAAAGCCACATTAAGTTGATACACTGGGTTTGTTTCATTACAACCTTTCATATGGTGTTATCAGTGAAGGCAAAGTGAGTGTTGGGGCCTTCAGTACAGCCCTGTTCTGTTCTGTTCTGTGCGTGTCTTTTGAGCAGGGTCTGTCTCTCATACACCTTGCCCGGAGGTGACAGATGAGATGTTGGCTTCTGCACCTTCAGTGGGGGTCTGTGTCAATCAGGGTTCACAGATTTCTTCAGCTCCACACAGCTGTCTGTTCGGGGCACTTTCTTTTGCTGTGTGGTACTGGCTGCTTTAGGCACAGATAGGTTACTGGCTGCTTTTGTTCTGCGCACATTCTTTTGTGGTGTGTCACTGGCTGCTTTTTTCCCTTGCACAGTCTTCTGTGATGTGTTACTGGCTGCTTTTTTCCCTTGCACAGTCTTCTGTGGTGTGTCACTGGCTCCTTTTTTCCCTTGCGCAGTCTTCTGTGGTGTGTCACTGGCTGCTTTTTTCCCTTGCACAGTCTTCTGTGGTGTGTCACTGGCTGCTTTTTTCCCTTGCGCAGTCTTCTGTGGAGTGTTACTGCCTGCTTTTGTGGGGCACACCTGCTTTTCTTGTATCTTACTGGCTGCTTTAGACACAGGAACTTCAGCCTTAACGTTAGCTCCAGTGTGGTGGTGAAGGTCCTTTGCAGCTTTTGGCTTGCTATCACTAGCAGCAGCCTTACGTCTACGTTGTTTTACTTTTGGCTTTTTCACCTCTTCTTTTGGTTTTTCTTCAACAATATCACCTAGGAGAGCTTTTGCTGCAGCAGAAGCCAAAATGTCTTTCGCAGACACTTTTTTCTGAAAATTTCACAGGAAACAACAATGAATCTAAGCCACAATACAGAGCTTCTCAGCATTTACTCCATGAGAAAAAGAGCAGAATCTAGCAGAAGGACTTAAGTCACATGTGATAAATGCTAACCAAACTCTTTATTCACAAAATTAAGAACTTGACTTGTGTAAAGAGGTACTGGAGCATTTGCTCTTGAGGCTTTCTTCTCTACTGACCCAAAGAGGGGAAACTCAGTTCTGGGCTCTGTATTGTGTGTCTGTCTTAGCAACCAGCTGTTTAACCCCAGCTCATCACCAAGCCCCACACAGCCGCTTGCTCAGTCCCCCACCAACAGTATCAGGGAAGGAACTGGAAGAGTAAATAAAGCTAGGGAACTCCTGGCTTAAGATAAAGGCTGTGGTTCCCTGGGAAGACCAGTGCCATTACTGTAAAAGTCCTCCCTTCCTCCTCCTTTCCTCCACTTTATGCAGTGAGCACCATCTCACACGGTCTGGGATATCCCTTTGGTCAGTTGGGGACACCTGTCCTGGCTGTGTCTCCTTCCAGCCTCCCACATACCCCCAGTCCCCTCACCAGTGTGGCAGGATGAAAAACAGAAAAGGCCTTGGCTCTGTAAGCCCAGCTCAGCAATAACAAAAACATCTCTAGGTTGTCAACCCTGTGTTCAGCACAAATCCAAAACACAGGTCCACACCAGTCACTGTGAGGAAAATTAATTCCACCCAAGTCAAGACCAACACATTTCCACACTGACCTGCTCTGTAATGTGCCAGTAAGAACAAAAGATCCATTGTGTGTGTGTATCAGAAATACTTACTAAAATACAGAAATTTCAGTAACATTAAACATGAATAACTTTCACAGTAATGAAAGTTCTTGCTCAAAATACGTAAGCAAGGAACTCAAACTAGGAACCAGGTCAACATCCAAGTATATAAAGAGAAACAATGGGGGAGAAACTATTTACAACTAGCTAAGAAGAATGTTTCTGTAAACAAGAATTTCAGTTAAAATTGTAAATACATGTTTTCTACATTGTGGAAAATGTTTGTTTGCTGAATCACCTAAAAACTGGCCATTGGAGCAATTGCTTCTTTGTATTAGAATTCAACCCAAAAAAATTACTTGGATTAACTACCTGCAACAAAATTGTTTGTTGCTCTGGAGACAGACAATATGGTAGAGAGATGCACATAGCATGAGTAACTAAAACTCAGACCAAGCTTAAAATATTTAATATTGTAAAGAAAGAGGTCAATAATAGTTAAGTTGAAGGGCTTTTCATATGTAATTCTCTTACCCTTAATAAAATCTAACTTCCCCCAAGAGGCAAGCTTCTTTCAAGCACTGAAATTGCCATATGACAGAAAATGGTACAAATAACCAAGATCTCCTATCTTTAGTTTGCAATGAAATTGTGATTAGTTCTTCCTCACAGCCCTTCCACTTTTGATGGAAAAAATGTGTGTTTTTCTTAGAGACAAGAGGAAAATGTTGATGCTCAGAGATGCAAACTAGCCCTGTAAGGCCTTTCCTCAGGAATCATGCCATTTCCATTTACTCAGCAAAAGTCCCCTGCCTTTCAAGCTAGATTTGCATATGCCTTAGTTTGGGAAGGAAACCTACTCATACCTATTTTATTCAAATTATAATAGTGTCATGCGTAGGGATTAAGATTTCAGCTGCTTGGATACTGGAAAATCTTGGTGACACATATAACAAATACATTTACTAGATACCATTTATCCTGAGTCTAATCAAGCTGTGTATTTCATTCCAAAGTGTGATAACAGCAATGTATTTCCCCTAGATTTTGCTGGCACTAACTTAGATCAAGGGTCTGCTTCTGTTCCAGAAGTACAGGCACATCTTTTAAACCTGTGCTCAGTATAAAATTCCAAAAGTGGCACATTTCAACTGTTTAGCTGTCTTTTGGTCTTGAGACAACCAAAGAGCAGCCAGGAATTTTATTTCAAATGTTCCATTTTGTTTATTCTTCTGTGGAAGTTGCAGTACTCATCTTCTGTGAAGTGATTTTAAATGGTTGTTTTCATAACTTACCTCTCTCTCTAGAACAGCTAGGAAACAACCACTGGAAATTTCTGATGGCTCTATTTTGAAAAACATTTCAGTGGAAGACTCTGAATTGGAGCAAGTAGAAAAAATAGAAGGAATAAGCCTGTAAAAAGGAAATGGAAAACCAGAAAATACTATTTAAGAATATAAAAGGAAGTAAACAATGATACATTAGAAGTAATTTTCAAATTTTGTCTGTCGATAACATAGCTTTATCATAATTTTTTAAAACTGCAATTCAAGAAAGGCATGAGAATTCATCTTTTTAGAATTTTTTCCAGTAATTCCTTTCCCCCCCCAATTATTAAGAATATTAATCACCAGATAATAAATACATAATATGACAATGAAGAGCTATGTTCTTTCTCAGATGTGCAATTATTGAGTTATCAAGTTGCCCTGAAGTTGGGGAATGGTCTGAAAACACTAAGGAGCTTGTAGAAATTGTAGAGGTGTTGACTTTGAGTTATAAAAATAATAATAACAATAATAAATATCATAATAAATACCTACCTAAGCTAAAAATCTTAGGTTAGGAAAATTTGCTATTTGTTCTAATTGAGTGCTTTTTCTCCAATGTTACAGTTTTGCAAGAACTAGCCTCTTCTCCTGTTCTTGAAATCCAGAAATGCCTGGTTTTTATAAAGCAGTCTCAAGGACTTGGCTCATAAGGCTAGCAAGCTACACTAAGCTGTCTCAGTACAGAAAAACACTATCAAAATGTCCTTTTGTAATTATAATTCCTTCCTCGTCACTGAGGACTGTAAGATAGAGTCCTACTCCTTAATGTCCACTAACCCTCTTGTGACAGAGCTTTATTCAAAGATGGTTACAGAGTATGTATTCAATATTTGAAAGCAATATCCTGATTTGGCTGGCTAGTTCACTTTTAACGGGAAGTCTGCAAAACTGTTTGTTTCCAAGTTCTCACCACGATCTGGATTTTTTTTCCTATGTTCCTTGGAACTTGATAAAACAGGCTACAAGGTTCAAATCTTCCTCGCATTACTAAATAAAGCTCTTATGTCTTATGACACAGATTTTTGATTTTACATAAGCTTATTCAATGAAAAAAAAAACAGTGGTAATTTTTATTGAGGTATACAAGTTACTGTTCACCAGGAATCTCTTCAATGATCCTGAAAAATGATGCAGAAATTAATTCAAATTTGATAGGGTAAAGCAAAATGCACGAGTAGTTCAGACTACTCTATACACACCTGTTTGCCATGTGTGCCCTTACTTTAGGTAAAGCTGCTGCTGTAAATTGTCATATCCTGAAGGTAAGTTCAGCTGAACCAGTGTGAACATGTCTGAAATCACCCTTAAAACTGCACAGCCCTAAAACCAGCTGTGTGACCCCAAACTCCAACAGCGCCTTATTTTGTTTGGCACCAATTCAGTACTGCAGAGTAATTCCAAAAGATAAAATGCACATAAGCAAAAATGTTGTAAGAGCTTCCTGAAAGCCCTCCATTTTCTTGGAAAAGGGAATTAATATTCAGTAGATATTTGATGATCATAAAACAAGTTTTATAATAAAACTTGTCTCTCAAAGGTACTACTGTGAACGTGAGGGCTAGTAATTCTGCAACAGCCTTTCATTCTATACTGCACTGTTTTAGTCAAATAAATTCTCTAATCAATTCTAAGAAAAGTGTAAAAGGAACTTTTGTAAGTAGTACATGCATCTTAAGTGGCTTGAGCTTTCATCTTAAGCATGATCACTCTCTATATTTTATTTATGGCATTCTCTTACTGCTGTGTTTGTGCTGATTACCAGCAGCTTTATTGTAGCAAGGACTGTGATGAAACATCCAAGATACTGCACAACAGTGAAGGAGGAACTGAATCTGAAATTGTCATTTATGAAACTCAATCAATTGTCAGTCAGAAATTTGCTCAGGTCTGAAAAAATCCTAATGTAATTTTATTGTCCTTTTCTTACCATCCAAGATTGCCTTTTTGAATGTGTAATATGATTTGGTGGTTTGACAACATTCATGATGCTTCTGCACAACAGTGAACAGGTTTTGGCTTGGGTTTGTTGGCAGGGAGGTGTTTTACACAAGGGGGATTTAAAAAATAATCAGAGCTCCAGGAACTTTTTTAAAATAAAAATTCTTTTCTATGTTATGAATTTACATATTAGTTATATTCAATAATTTAGAGACCATTACATTCCAAGGTCCCCCAAGTTCTCCCCATAGAGTAATAGCTGCACAGAGATCAAGACAGACTCCAGAAAACTTCAAATTCCAAAGGAAAATACAAGCAAGAGGCCATAAATGCTTTTGGTCTAGCACACCATCATTGGCAAGACATACCCTGATTTCATCCCACTTACTGTAAAAACTAATCAAGCAGACTGCTATTTTCTATCAGTGAATTTGAAAAAATATGCATTTTGTTGCACTGTATCTTATGAATAATATACAACTTTTAAACCTTCTTTGGACTGACCACAGTTGATATCTACTATTTTAATCATGCAAAATTTAGTTACATGGAGTATTTGAGCCACAGTACCTTTCCCTTTGATAGCCAGACTATTAACTCAGGTAATATAAAATCTAAAACTATAGTGTTACTCTTCTGTGCTTTTTACAACATAAACTCTTTTAAACCTGCATCCAGTAATCCACTGTTGTATCCATCTGCAACTAAGTGCCAACTGTTTGGATTTATGTGACTGAAAGGAAAATACAGAAAATACCCATCAGTGTTTTAACAATTCCTCTGGCTGACAGGGGTGATAGCTAACAGGTTATAACTACATGTGAAGTATACAGCATACATACTTTTTTCATATAATTTTGTTTTTTCCATGATTGCACAGGATGGTCTCTTATTGTAACCTGTCCTTCCCAGAAGTCATTCATCTGAACACAGCAATGAGTAATCTACACCAAAGGGTTCTTATTCTTCTCTATGATTCTTACAGTTTAAGATTTCATTTCTTTTTCCTTTGAAATTGATCATTCTACATCAGCAGCAGAGAGCATGCTAGCAAATTAGTTTCATTCTCTGAATACTAATACAATAATAGCAATAGCTCTATCTGAAGAATGTTATTTCCAACCAGTGATGCTTTCCTTCCATCTTAATTTCAGGTGAACAAAAATATTAGATGAGAAAGTCAATAGAATACTGCTAAGGAATCTCATAAACAGAAAGAATGGCATGACAGGCAGCAAAAGCTATTTTAATTTCATGCAAGATACATATCAGTGTAGAATAAGAATTATGCTACAATTCAAAGTCATACTTTAATTCTTCCACAGATAAAACTACTCATTCTGTACCTATATGGTCGTTTATCTCCCTCCACTCCAGATTCCAGTGCTTTTTTCACTACAAGTTCATTTTCTTCTGGGTAAACTGAGCAAGTGCAGTAAACAATAGCTTGTACTTTGTTAACTACAAAACAAAACACAACTTTTTTACTCGTCAGATTGTTCATACTGACAGTAGTTTGATAAGGACTAAAAGCATCATAAAAATTATTTTACCTCCTGATCTCTAATGTTTTTAAATAATTAAAATATTTTCAAATATTTGCAGGTTTCAGCACAAAGTCAAAGCTGTCTCCAGTCTTTTCACACAGCTACCAAAGGAGAGAGGAAAAAAGTGGCAGCATGCAGATGGAGGGAAACCACATTGCAGAATTTCTAAAGCAAAGTATAACTAAGCCATAAGCCAGTTCTCTACACAGTACTGAAGAGTATTATATTAATGTCTGGTGGATACTAGGACACAGGAACACCTTCAGACTGGAGGAAATCATTGTTCAGGGGGTTTGGGTACCTGCTTATTCTTAATTAATAGAGTAATTAGTGCGTTTTTAACTACATTAAAACTGGTGATAATACAATGGAATTGACAGCACAGAGTCTTCCCAGAAACTGGGAAACTAGCACACTTACATTTCAGTGCATGAATCAACTCATTAAGCTGCCTCTCAGTAAGAATCCTGAGTTTATCCTCAGACACAAATCCCTGGAAAAGGTCTCGTAGCAATCCTGCATCTAAAAGCAGAGAGTAGTAAATTTAGTCTTGCAATTTGTATTAGTGTCTAAAAATTCATCTGTTTGCAGAAGCAGACCTGGTTATTACTGGTGCAGTGGGAAGGTAGATTTTACAAATTACAATACCAAGGAATGCCTGGTTTATTTGTTTTACTTCTTTACCTGTAATTACTGGTGTCTCTTACTTGCTTCTAGTTAATGAAAATTTTACAGTGAAAGGATTTATACAAACAGTCAATAAAAGAATGTAATCAAATAGAAAATTATATACATGTCTGTATCTTCAAATAAATTTTCTGCCTATATATTTTTACTTCAAAAAAAGCTATACACACTCTGCTCCCCAGAATCACCCTCAAACTTTCATATTATCAATCTGAAGCAGTCACAGAATTATGCAAGTTAATTTATATATTTTATGGTAATTGAAATAAGGAAGGTTTCTTTAATAAAATTATACAATTTACAGAAACACCTGCACTGTCTAGACCACAATACCTGGATCTATTTCTACCAGAAAGCATGAGCTAGATATTCTATCAAAATTTACCGCTGTGTTCACTTAAAATAAGCTCCATTGGATTGCCAGCACCCAGTTCAGAGCATTGTGGTAGCAGCAAAATAACTTTTGCCTTTTCAAGTCTTGGGTCTGTTGGTTGAAGCTCAATAAAGTCTTCATGTAACAACCAAATATCTGAAAAACAGGAAAAACTCAACACTTACAGACTGCAAGCAAGCCTGCCTACAGGTGACAGAGGTGAAGAGACTGTGGTGTTACGCAGAATTCAACAAAGCTAAAGCCTGCTAGATTCAGATTCTCCACAGTATGGCCTATGGATTTCAAACAGATTGAAAGGCTGCATCTTCCACTGAAAAGACAGTTAATGGGGTTGCAGTCTTGCTGCATTCTGTCCTGATAGCGTCCTCCAGGTAAACTGAACTGGTGCATGTGTTTTGGATTAACACTCTCAAACAGCTGGAAATCAGACTGAAAGCAACAGCCAGAACACCAAAAGTTCCCCACTACCAGCTACACCAATTGCTACGTAGTGGCCAGTTCTACAGAAAAAATCAGCAGTATTTCAGGAGCTTGCATCTATGATATGCAATTAACTTGGCTGCAATTGACTGGTGAGACTGTAGTTAACTTGACTGCAGCTGAAGAGCTATCAACTCACCTTGTGACAAAAAAGTTGTTACTGCCATCCCCAAGCCTCCAAAGAAGGGATCTCTGAGCTCTGACAGAACTAGTCCATATTTACAATATCACAAACTGTATCACTGTGTTACAATACTTCTTTGATACCAACTGTTTTAGCACCTACTTTCACATCCCATGTGACTGAAATTGTTCCTCAGTTCTTCTTCTTTTGCCGAAGATTTCACACCACAAACAAAAATTCTGGAGCTGCTGTCGTTTGTCAGCACTGACATATGGGCAGTGGTCAGATGGGAGCCTATGTGAGCCATTATAATGTCACCACCTTCACTCAGCAGCGCGTGTGCAGAGTGCACAGCAAGGCTGCGAGACTTGTCCTGCAACACAATGACACAAAAATTAAGTACAATCAACTCCCTTGCTTTCCATGAATGCCAACCTTCTTTTCCAAATTAGGAAAGTCTTCCATTGTTTTCATAGGAAATGGAAAAGAAGGCAGGGAAAAAACTAATCAGGGATATCTGCTAATACATAATTAAATAAATTACAAAACCAAGCAGTCAATAAATTTAAATAACTTAATTCTAAATAATGCATGAAAAAGCATTATAGATTTTCATCTCACACCTATAGATAGGTGAAAATAAAGTACATATCCTCCTTGTAAGGAGGAAGTCCTACCAACAGCTTGTTTCAGAAAAGACAAACATTGGCCACAATTCAGACAGAATTCATCCTCTGAGGGAGCTTAACAGAGAAATGCAAAACTATTCACACAGCTCTTGATGATAATTACAGGAGAAATTTTGCCCTTGTAGATCAAAGATCAATACTTTGCTGAAATTTGAACAACAGAGTGGCAGATTGGAATGCAGAAAACACAAGAGACAGCTCCACAAGAGTAAATGCTCTTGTACCACTGGTGATTAAGAGAAAACTTTATCAAATTACTTAAAAAGGCAAGGAACGAAGAAGATACTGGCCAGAGATACCAGGTCTTGCACCAAATCTGACAAACTGATAGTAAATGGAAAGGGAAAAACAAAGTGCTAAACCTTTAAATTCACATCATTGGCTATGTCCACACAGCATTCAAGCACCACTCCACCCCACCACAGAGATGGAAGTTTTGATGGTTTTATTTACTCACTTGGAATACATTTAAGTAGTTAGAATTTGTTCCCATTATCTAGAGGGCTGTCATCTATAGTACTTTTCTGTAAGTATTGTATTTAAAATATACAAACTGAAATGGAATATTGAATACTGAATCACTTTTTATGTTGAGCAATAAATTTTGAGGCTAAAGTTTTCAGACATCTAGCGAAAATGCTGGTTGAAGTGTTTCTGCTAGCATTTCAGATAATTAATGGTTGTGGTGTTGCACGGTTACTGCAAACCTCTACTCTAGAACAGAAACCTCCCACCAAACTTCACTGGGGAGTCTAACAGTGGCAAGTCAGGAAAAAGACCAGTGGGGGTTATGGAGATCAAGGAACCACACAGCACAAAATACAAAGAACTGTGATCATTCCATCACAAACATGCATTTGAAAAGGAAGAAATACTACAATAGCATTCCACTAACTACTAACTGAGGGAAAGCATATGGAGTTATACTGAAACTTTCCTAACATTTTCAGAAATGAGACGCCTCTTTTGACCACTTTTTGTATTTAGTTCAACAGCTCTAAGATTAAATTTAAAACATTCTACTAACTTAATTGCAGCTATCAATTAAACATTGACATTTGTATGCTAAATTTAGTAACTGGATCGGTTTGTAACCTAATTATCACAAATGTTCAAAACCTTATGAGAGTTTGTTGCTGCTTGACTGATTTAATAGAATAGTTACACAATACACAACCTCTTTCTAAAGCAAAGCAATTATTTCAATTTGCAAATCATCTGACTCAAGGCTGAACATCAACTCACCTGCAGTAAGAGTTTGCAATCCGCAAAAAGATCTAAGTTAAGCAGTTCTTCTCTAAGAGAGGAAGGAAAAACCAATACATCATGGCAATGTTGGTCCACAGCATACGTGTAATGGTCAAAGTCTGACACAGATTCAACCTTTGTGAATCCCTTCATCTCCAAATCTCTGACAACATCTTCAAGGCTGTTAACATACAACTCTGACCATTAAATATACAAGAGTTACTTAAGCAACATAGTTTACATTGATTGTAAGAATTTTTTACTTCTGTTATTGTGTGTGTGTATACATATGCATACATATATAGGTATAAAATGCATACTGTCTAATGCAGGAGGGAAACTTACTCTCCTTTAGACATGTAAGTTCTGGTCTGAAACACTTAAGTTAATAAATCTGATACAATGAATTAAAAAAATAGGTATGTGTCTGCAGAGGATAATTCAAAGCATCAAAACAGAAATGTCCATGTGCTCAGGAGAGCTGTAGTAAATTCACTGCTGGAATGCTTTAGTTCTTTCAATTGCTTTCAATCTAGCCCAACTCACCAATAAATTTAATGGCTGACACTGAAAGAATCCTTGTGTAAATGTAATGAAGGCATAACTGCTGAGGTTAGCAATTCAAATATCATAAAGATTTGAAGGTATATATAGCAAGAGACGTTTGTTGAAATGCTGTTTCAGACAGTGCCATAAGTTTATACAGTACATTAAACATGGGATGAAAGGAGCAGCTTTTATTTATTTCCTATTTAAGGGCTCTAAACTCACACCCAAAGTAAGGTACATTATCTTGAAGAGCCTATAACCTAAGCACTGAACATTGATCCAAGACAAGAGTAATAAAACAAAATTCTTGAAAACGTTATAAAATGTATTACCTGTCTAAGAAAACAGATAACAGGATAATCTGGTATGGTTCATGTATCAGTTAGTACAGACTGGGAACAGCAGTGTTATAAATATAGTAGCCTACAGAATACAAGGATTTTTAAATGTGTCTTTTAATTTCAAGTTTACATTATCCTTACAGAATAAACAGCAGGTTTAAGTATTGTGTTTTAACATCCTTTTCTAAGATTATGGTTTGCACTAATGCACCTGCTTTTAAAGACATTTTCTCTTATTTTTTGTCACCAAGTTAACTCACCCATATTTTTTTCTAACTTTATTTTTTATTTATTTGGTGAAAGACCCACACAAGCAACAGAATAGTAAGAAGAACTGTTTCAAAACAGTGTATAAATACCAGTACTGCAATATATAAAAACTACCAAAAAAATATAACACAATGGTACTGCACGAAGCAGAATTTTCCTGTAAGGATTTTTAATTACTAGTAAAAATATAACCTGGAAAATCTAAAACAAGTATGTAGCAAACTATATCACTTCCTATGCAAAAACATCAATATCAGATGATACTTTAAATACCTGATTTTAAATGTGTTTATCCAAAAACAGACAGGTACAGCAGAAGTCCTTTGTTCCTGCTTTGATATAGTTTCTGGTACAAAGTATTCAATTGAAAGAGCATCATATTTAATGCGACACCGTGCCAGTGCAGCTGCCAGTTTGGTCTTATACCTATAAAAACAGTCACAAGTTCAGTAGGTTTTACAAATGTTTTCATCAGCTGTTAGCATGCAACTCAACATTTCTGTTACAAAACCATCTTGTTCAGAAACCAAATCCAAAAGGGACACCTTCTCCTGCAAGCTGCAACAGAAAATAAAGTTACAGAACGTTCCCTACCCCAGACAACAGCAGATGCAGGGTGGTAGTCAAAAGATTATTTTATTTAAATAAGGCAGGACTGGAATTACAGCAGGGGACTCTCAAATACATCCATTTTCTCAGACAGCTAAAAAAACCCTCAGTATGTTTTGGAATTGCAATGTGTAGAATACAACCTTCAGATTCATTTGCATGTTTGAAAATGCAAATACATACATGTGCAGAATGAGCATTTGATGAAAGCTGGCCCCTAAACATGTACAAAACAATACAAATATGATGGCAACCAGGAGTCAATTTTATTTTTATTATTACATGAAAATGTCTGAGAAAGTATTTCCAGTCTTTTCTTCCCACAAGCTTCATGCATATTCCTGATAACATGACAATTCAAAATAAGTAAGAATTGCTGGTGAACTACTTCAGGTATCTTACTCACTGCCCTCCAGAAATACCTTGCACTTAAGAGATTAATGAACTTTTTGGGACAGTCTAAATCCAGCAGCAACACAATTTTGTCTAATAAATGCCTTTTGAGTTAAACAAAATGTTGTTTGTAGTTTGATGGAAGAGATAATAAATATTAAAATGTTTATGTATTCTGGTTTTTGTTCTAATTATTTAAAATAATAAATATTTAACAAAGTTTCATAGTAGAAGTACTGTTGAATAGATAAATGTTATTCCATTCCATGACCTCTTGATTCTATTACACTTGCATTTATGAATATTTACCGAATATTTGATTTCCTTCCTAGAATTGTATGAAAGTTTCAATAATGCCAAAATATGATAAGATGCCTGCAAAATAATCCACAGTATAAGGATGGTTTCTTATCTGCATTTTTCATAACCATATAAATATGAACATTTGCCTCTAAACTAGTCTTTCATTAAAAAAAAAAAAAACCCTCACTAATTTTAAGGTGAAAGACATGCTTAATAATTACCTTCAAAAGGCACTGATTATACAAATCTTCATTTCTGCTGATCTCTATCAACAACAAATAGCTCTAGACATATACCTGTATAAATAATGCCCTATTTCCTGAACTTCTGCTACAGGTTCCTCTTCAGCAAAAACCTTTCGTTTTTCAAACTTTCGGTCTTGCAGGTCACAAAGCATCACAACAAGCAAGCTGGTTAGCTCATCTGGCTGCAAGAGAAAAGCAACTGGATGGAGAAAGGGACACAAAGCATCCCTTATTTCTGCAAAAAGATCCATATCAAACAGCAGTCTCACATGCAAAAGGCATTAAAAACCCTTAAATGCTTACTTGCAAGAATAGGAAAGTACTTGTGGAGAGTTAATAAAACACTTCTTTTAAAAAAAAAATTTAAACTCAAATACATAACTTACAAGTTTTTTAGATTATCAAAATTAAAAACATTCTCCATGCACACAGATAAAATACTGGGTCTTAACTTCTAATGTTATCAGAATTGAAACTTTGAAATTATTTTCTCTTCATAAAGTAATTTGTTAAATAGCTAAGCTAACAAAAACTTCTTGTCCATCAATTCCTCTCTTGTGGGATTCTTCCGTATGTAGCATCCAATACACTCAGTTGTAATAACCCTTTTTCCTTGTGGGATATATATATATAAAAAACTTCCTTTCTCTGTCTAAATGTTTAAACCAGGGAGCATCTCCTGCTTAAGGACAATAATTTCTGTACTTCAGTTACTATTGTCTGCCTCATTACGTGAAATTCTTACAGTTATTTTGCCTTCTAAAATTCTCACCTTCTCACAAATATGACCAAGATTAGTTAGAAAACTCAAGTTATTAGGGAAATACCACCAAACACAAGATGTTAGCATGAAAGTCTTACTTCCTTATGAAAACAAGGCAAAGATAATTTGTTAGATCATTTGACTGCTGACATCAACCTCCACAAACCACATCAGCTCAAGTTTATCTTGCAATTTTCAAAGGCATCAAAGACAAAACTGGAAAGAACAGCAGAATATTCTGCCAGCTGTAGAATTTCTTTCCACGTCAAAGAAGTTTCCTTTGTTGAGAGAGTAAACTGGACCAGTTTTTTGTTTTTGCCAGTACAATATTTGTATACAGTACTGTTTGCCCAGGAAATGAAACATGGGGTCAATGCATTTTTTTGTCTGATGGGATTCACTCCATGTTTTCCAACTTCCAAGGATAGGAAGGAAACATTTTTTTTTCCCCTGGTCAGAAGGGGACACAGCTGGGAAGGAAAGCATATGGACATGGACAGTATCACTGAGCAAGTACTATGGTGCACTGCAGCTCATGGCTCTCTCTCCCACCTTCTTCCTTTGAAGGCTTTGACTTCCAGCAATCAGTTACAACAGAATCTCACAACAGACTTTGGAGATGGATGCTTTAGACAGCTATGTAAAAAGGTCAGCAATATTTCAGTCTAAGTCTGTCATGTAGTTCAAAACAACAAAGGTTGTTTTAAGAATGTTGTAGAATCCTCAGAAAAGGTACTAATTACATCAACACAGAAAATAAAAATGCCTCATAAAAATGTTCACTTACTATTGAGTAGCATGGGTAAACCTTACTATCTAACAACATTTCTTCAAGAAGATCTTGATCTGTAGAAAGAAGAAAATGTTGACAAGTTATGCCACTCTCTACAATATTCTATAGAAGTAAGTCACTAAATTGTAATTTTAAACATCATGTAAATTGAGGGCTAATTCAATCACCAACAGCAGTAACCCTGTGCAATTCATTTACATGAAAAATAATAGGCTTTAAATGTTTGATTTCACAAATTCTAATAACATTTAGCTATATTTAAATATTTGAGGGATATGAGTAGTCTGGTAAATATGTATATTCATCAACACTTAGGATGTGAAAAGAACCACTGAGATGAGCTCAGCTGGTCAGAGCAGGGTGCTAGTAACACCAAGGTTGTGGGTTCAGTCCCCTTATGGGGACTGATTGATTGATTGATTGATTGATCCCCTTGTGGGGATCTTGATGATCCTTGTAGGTGTTTTCCAATTCAGAATATTCTGTGAATCTGTGACTCTGCAATAACCTGAAGCTTAACAAAAATTTCCCTAAATCTCTGCTGTCAGGCAGACACGGAACATTTGTTTTTCCATGTTTTCTCTGCTGCATCACTTCTGTTAGCAATTCCTGGGTGAGTTTTGTACTTACATTTGAGAGCTCTGAAAGCCAGTTCATAGGATTCACGCCTGGAATGCTCATCTTTAAAAGCCACCACGGGAGGTTCGGAGGTATCGCCGTACCGCACCAGGACTCTGCCCGAACTCCTTTCAGTACGAATGCCCTGGAAAATCTTAGCTGCATTTATGTATATGGAGTCAGGATAGCCATTCTTCCCAATCTGAGTCACTGCTCTTCTTTCAACAGATCTCTTTCCATTTGAAATTTTCATTTCACTCAAGACTGAAGTACGATTTATAACATCCACATGTGAAGACACCAAATTACTTTCAGAATCTGGCATTTTTCCAGTTGCTGACTATGTAAGTGCAAGTCACAATCCTGCTGCCTCTGCAAAACACAAAGTTTGTATTGAATAATGCACTTTTCTTTCACTAGAATACACTTTTCCATTCCTTTTAGGGCTTTAAATTTTCAGGCTCTAACCTTGCAAATACATATATATGTGTATCATCTATATCTCTATACATCTATCATCTTACACATCATAGAGAAGTATTTATAAGAGTTTTCTTGCATTATTTGTTTTCACCAATGCACGTGCAAAGACAGGTTACTTGTTTCAAAAAGGCCAGTGCTTTACAATCACTGGTCCTTTATGGAATATACACACAGATCTGATTCTGTGTCCAATAAGAACCATATTATTGCAGGCAGAATAGCATCTCTTACTAGGAATTCTCCTTTAATAAAACAGACACCAAAATTTCAACGCAGACATCATGCCTTCCAAAGAGCCATCTTGAAAACAGCTGCAGTGAATTCCAAATGTTTGTCCACTAAACTGTGTATCTGTTCTTAAAAGTGGAAAACAGAGATCACCTAAATGTTAATAATGTATTTAATGCATTATCTAAGCACAATTTTAAACCCATTTTGAGAGTCTCTAGAGGTATTATCCAACTCTCTCTAAGCCCATGTGCATTTCCTAAATTTTCTACACATCTTACATTAACATATATAAAACTTACCTTCCCCAGAGGTGGAATAGGGCGTCAAGAAAATGAACAAGTTCCAGAGTTAGTTGAATGCAAAAATATTCTTAAGTTCCACATAAAACACACCTAAAGTAGTGGATTTACCCTACTTGCTCTGGTCATTACACCACGCATTTATGATAATGCCTGGATATGCAGAAGTCATATTAACTGTTCAGAAGTGGGTTAAGCCAAAATAAACTTAAACACAGAATAAAGATTTTTTTAAATCTAACTAGTCTTCCTGCCTAGGGAAGAATAATACAAAAAACCTATGAGGAATTTAGTAGCTATAGCACAAAAAGCTAGGCATGGATCTACTGCTGCCAAAGAATTCTGACTATTTTAGGATTAATAGCACAAAATAGCAGAATTGGGTGGAGGGGGGGGGGAAATGCCAGTTTAAAAATCAAGAAAAAAAGGTGTTATTCTGATCAAAGGGAAGGGGTCTTCTTTTGTTACAAGATTTAGTTCATTACAACAATTCTCAGGCCTTTTCCCTGCACTCCCCAGCATCACTAAGGATAAAATACATACCTCTTCTTCCCAATTCAGAAACACTTGCTCAGCACCCTTTCTTCCTCTCTCCTTTCCTTCCCCCATCCCAAAAAACCAGAGTGGCAATGGAGGATGGCAGCACACAGAGCTGGAGGGGCAAGGGGGGACACAAACTGCTGCTTCTCCAGCAGGCAGCCGTGGAATGCTCCGTGCTGAGCCAGCATTCCCCCATTCAAACTCCCTTTCCCAAACATGGGTGCCACTCAGCCCATCTCTCCCCTCTCCAAGACCAGCACAAGTCAGCGTCTGAGCAGCCCAGCATGCTCCACACAATGGACCAGTGTGGCTTCCTGAATTCTGGCAACTCATCTGGAGGAGGCCACATCTCATTCTTCTCCCCCAGGATTTGTTCTCCAAAACTGAGAACTGCTAACCCTGCAGAAGCAATCCTTACTGTTACTTTATAGAGGCCTCAGACTAAGAGTTTCTTCTAGCAGGAGTTTTGCTCCAACATCCCCATTAGATATAGCAGTGATGGATCCATGGAGCAAACATAAATTTATTTTATGAAGCCATATTGAAACAGAACCAGCAGTGCTATCAAAAGAAAGCCCTATTCTTCACTAGAATGAAGCACCAGATCACCTAAATCAAACTGAAGCACTTGTGCTTAGAAAGTAAAAAAACCATAAATGTTTTTATGATCTTTTACATTATTTTGACCAGCAAACATATATCTCACAGAAACAGGGGCACCATCTCAGAGACCTGAAACTCATATGTCTTCTCCAAGTGAATGCAAATATTCTATTTTAGAATATGCAGCAAGTGAACAATGCCTGTAGTGTAAGGACTTTGAAGATTTGCAGAGTTCCCAATTACTCTTTGTGACTTCTTTGCCAAAGCCATTTTTGCTGAGCCACAACACACACTGCTATCAGGATGATTTGATGAATATACTCTCCCAAAAGACAAGTGTCATCCTAATAAAGATGAGATGCCAGTGTTCTGCCCTGTGCAAACAAACTGCATGACTGCAACACTGTAAATCACAGTCTGGTTTACTGAATGCTGTGCCAAGCAGATGACACCAAACTGGATTAATACAAAGCTCAGCCGGGAAGAAGAGCTTCCCAGACAAGGGAGAAAAGATCCTGCCTTTGTTTGTGGATCTCAAGCAGATTACTCAGTTGACAGGGGAAAAAAACCACTCAAGGTCCCAAGGTCTCCAAAACCAGAATGGCTTGAAGGGTATCTCCAGCTTTGATAAACTCAGTCAGACAGAATTATGACATTTATTCATTGCACAGCATAGTAAGTGACTCACACACAGACATCCCCATAAAAATCACTAATTCCTTTGTTTATACACCAGTAAGTGTATTTTTCCCATTTCTTCAGTTATCACCCTTTTCAGTAGCCTCTACAAATAAGGAAAAGAGATGAACAGAAAACAGCCCCACGGCACTTGTTCTGTATCAGGTACACCCAGTTCCGATGCACATTAACAGGGAAGCGGGTAACGTGCCTGCTCACACACCAACAAACAGTAAATCCTTGACAACCGCAGATACACCTTGATTTTTGTCTCACTAGCTCTGTGGGGATGCACGACTGCTTCCTACCATCCCTGCCACTGCCACTGAGCCGCAAAGCCTCTGCTGCCCCAGCTCCAGCCAAGCTGGAAGACTGGCCAGAGTCAGGAGAACAAGTCAGCCACCACACCATTCCCCTACTGCGCTTTATGTATGAGAAACAGCTGAACAGGAGAGGCATAGAGAAGGGGAGGAGGGAGAAAGCAGCTATTTCTTTGTAAAATCAGGCAAAGCCTTGGTTCATTGAAACACGGCCCTGAAAGGCCCCGAAGCGCATCCAGCTCCCCCAAGCCGCGGCCGCGGGCAGAGGCGCCTGGGCAGGGCCGCGGGGCTCGTACCTGGCCGGGCTCCTGCGGCTCCCTCGGGGCGCTCCGGGCGGGGCTGCGGGCAGCACCCCCGGGCCCGTGCCGGGCAGGGGTCGCCCCATGCCGGGCAGGGCAGGGGCCAGGCCGAGCCCACAGCCCCGGCACCCCCCGGCCGCACAGAACGGCCGGGCAGCGGCACGCACGGGGCTGGGGCGGAGCAGCGCTCCAGGGGCTGCCCCGAACCGACCTCCGGAAAATCCCTTCGCGGGGGAGAGAGCTGCTGCCACGCTCCTTTTGGAACTTTGGTTTCCAGTTTTGTTGGGGGTTTTTTGTGTGGGGTTTTTTTTGGGTTTTTTTTTTTTTTTTTGGGGTTTTTTTTTGTTTTTGTTTTGTTTTTGGGGTTTGGTTTTTTTTACTTGTTTGTTTGTTTTTGTTTTTTTTTTTTTAACCCTTTTATTAAAAATTTTAAAAGTCCAAACAGCATTAATTGTCGGAAACTCCATGAACACGTTTACAGCCAAGTGTTAGCGACACTCACACTGGACCTCCCCCAAGAACAGGAACAGCCCCAGATAAGGTGCTGGGGTTCCACTTGCACTTGAAATTAGCAGTGTGATCATATAATGTTTTAGCTGTCTCAGCCTCTGCTTTTATTCAGAGTTTGAAAACATAATTGAAACATGCTTTAAAGTTGTTTCCAGATGTTTTGTTTTTTAAAAAAATAGAAAAGGGGAAAAATTATTGAAAATATTCCAATACTCAATAAATCAGCTATAACCTTTGTAAAAAATCGGAAATCTTCTTTTTCCCTGTAGAGACTGTTCCTGTTACATCAATGCTTTCATGGACAACTTTAATTTTCCTGAATAAGGGGAAAACCACTGTGATTCTGTTAAGATCTGTGATGTATTTTGGAGTGTCATTCCTGCCTAGCACCTCGCAACAGCATCTGCCACAGGTACAAGTGCCCTTACACAGGGAAGACAGAAGCACAGACTTCTGCAGCAGGGCTGCCCAAAAGCTAGGTAACCATGGCTTTGGTATAGACGGGCTGCACGTTTAGTAAAGCTCAGTACAAACTTTAGTATAGCCGTGTTTTTACAGATTGTGAGGTTACAGACTTTTTTGGGAACAAGCTGCATTGAAGCACACAAGCCAGTGCTTGTTATTCCTGCTAAAAACTTGGGTGTTAGCCAGATCCCTTTCTGATATCAATCTTATCAGATATCTAAGCAAACCAAGATGTGACTCTATGCAGTCACATGCATCAGGACTAGAGAATTTGGGGAGTTAAAAACAGTGCTTAATTTGTTGATGACACCCCTCTGGTCTGGATCTGCTACGTGCTCCAGCACAGCTGGTGCAACTCTGACAGCAGCAATGAGTTACAAAGCGAGCCAAATATGCTGGGTAGACTTTGAGCATAGCAGTTCAAACAGATCTTGAATCCTTCCTGATAAACGGGTGAAATACATGTTTTATAGGTTGTGTGGATCAATAGGGCACTATGCTAGCTGCAGTATAGATAGAAAGGAATTTTTTGTGCTGGTTTTTCCATTTTTTCCAAATAGATATGGCAGCTCTTTTTAAAAGACACAGCTGGGAATTGCTGCCCAAAGTAAATTTCATTTATGTGTACTAATATTTCATCTTCACTTTGAAGTAGTTTATTTTGCTCAAAGTTCTGCTAAGAATTTTCAGTACCTGGAGCTATTTGTCTTTTGAAAGAAGTAAATATATATTAGCACCACTATGTCATTTCCATTTTGTCTGTGACATTTTGATCTACTGTCCCCTCATAGGAAGGCCCTGTAAAACTCCATATTGTAAGTTGGACTTTTTAGTTTACATGCTTTTAACTTATTCATGGATGGAGGGAAAAGGAAACACTGTTCTGTTGCATCAGGGGCCTTTCTTCCCGAGTTTAGGATGCTCTGGAGCTGAGCAATCTCCTCAGGGTTAATTGGATACAAGCTGAAGTGGCTCACTGGCTTGCAGGCTCAGCACCCTAGGTAGTGCATGAATGAATTGCTGACAAAGTTCGAGTAGAACATTAAGAATGAGAATAAAATATTATATCTCACTTCCTTTCAGTGCAACTTATAATACTTGAGTGTGCTTGTTAGGCAAAATAATGTCAAATTTGGTAAATTGTTTCATTGAAGGTGAGCAATAGAAAATCATTAGGCTGTTTTATGTAAGATAGTGGTCTAAACTATATCTAGTACTACTAAAGGACTGGATATGGTACAACTTGAGCTTGGTGGCTTGAAGATGACACAGTGCATTGTGTTGATACTTCTATGGGAGTGAGATCTTGCTCCTAAGTCACAACTTTCATCTCAGAGTCCACCTGCCTTAATTCAAAGCCAGGGATCATTTTCCCCTATGTACATATTTATCTGATTTTCTATCTAACACTCCCTCTGTATCATAAGGTCTTTCTGACCTCATTTCTAATGGCTTCCCTCATCCTCAGTACTCTGAATTCTTTTATGTATTGGCAATCTATCACATCTCATTGCTCCTCTCCCTTTCCATATTGTTGCTGAACAAAAAAAAAAAGTCAGCACATAAATTGCTAAAAATCTCCACTGATGACTTCCCTTCACACCTTCCCTTACAATTTCTTTCACCAATTATCCATCCATACAAGGACATTCTTTCATACCCCTCTTATTTTGAAATTACAATCCCAGTATAATAAATTATGCAGAAACAGAAAGATCCAAATCTGCCATACGGGTCATGCCCAAAAACATCTACCTGCTGATATTGTCCATGTTGATTTCTGAAATTCTCAATTCCTCCAAAAAATCAAGAAACATCAAATATTCTTCTAGTGGCAGGTGCTGACATGGTATAGTAAAACCTAGGAGATCATAGGATTTTCAATTCATCTAAGCCTTTTACATTGTAGAAGTTTTGATTACTCATTGAATCCACAGGAACTTGGGTTTACTGGCTTGTGAAGTTCTTCATAATTAAAGACCAGTAAATAATTGACTTAAAGCAAGATGTCATTAACATTCTGTACCAGGATGCCATGTGTAACAGGCACATCTGTACTTAGCAGCACGCTGTTATTGGTGGCCATGGAACCTGACCCTATGTGGGGTTGCTCTCTTGTGGTAGCTCTTTCAGACTAGGTTAAATATGTGAGAAAGGTTGCCATTTTTTTTGACCCAACACAGATTGCCAAATTAATATGTAAACAGACCTATTATGTAGTAACTGGGAGTTGGTAAGTGAACAGACTTCATCAGTTTTGTCCCTTTTATTCACTCGGTAAGTAACTGTGGTTTCAGTGAAACTGAAAATAATTTTGATCCAGATATGTTAAGAAATTTAATTGTTCAAAGCTGATAGTCACTGTAATACTTCGTTTCATTCAAGAGTGATTTTGGTTCACTTTTCAAACCATTTAACAAGTACCATGTGTTAATCCTAAAACCTTTAGGGAACTGTAGTGGGGAAAACCATGTGAGATGTTATCTTAAATTTCTTTTCTCTTTTATGTCTTTCCTTGTTGTTGAAGTGTTACATTTAGTGTAAATTCTGAAATACTCATCACTATCCTGATTATGGTCAGCTTCCCTGCCTCAGCACTGGAAGATTTAAGTTCTAGAGCAGAGTGTCTTTCATTAGATGCAGAAACTAATCTGAATTCAGTATAATAGCTTCAACCTTAAATCTTCAATTATTCAAGCATACACAAACAGCTGCCTGGACTCAAATGTAAGCTGAGAGCATAGGACACACAGAGGAAGTACAGGTGATAAACAAATCTTCCTCCTTTGCTTTTCTAGTCGATTTGCAAATCCAGTCAAAAATGTAAGGGGTTCATTCAAAACCCATTTATTACATTGTTTTTCTAGATTATTTAATTTTATTTTTAAAGGTAATGGCCAAATGAGTCCAAAAGTTGCTAATGGCTACTGAATGATCAACTCTTCACTGAAAAGCTTGCTCAGATATGTTTTATGCTTAACAACTGAGATTTTATTTAATTTTTATCTCATAGCACTTGCAAGAAATCTTGTATTAGGCTTTATAATAAGGAAAAAAAGTCTGTTTTGCTATGGAATGCTATAAATTTACCTCGTTGACTCTTCTGAGCAATTATTTTACAGCTGGGAGGACTGTAACTCAGAATAACACAGAACAACTAACAGGAATTGGCTTGAAACTAACAAATGCCCTGGTAGAAAACAGTAGGATAACTAAAGCATTATTTTAGCAGTTGGAAGTGGGGAGGACAAGGGAAAGCTGATGACAAGGAAAGCTCAGGAAGGAATCTGAAGATCAGGCACCAGAATAGTTGCTATTAATATGATGTGTAGGAGCTTGACAAAAGAATGGAAGAATATGCGCTGCTTCAGGGATAACAGGAGTAAGAAACAGAGGAAAAAGAGCCAAAAATTCTAGCCAGAGGATATCAGAGAAGGAGCAGAGCAAAATATTGGAGTTTTCAGTCACACAGAAGCAAGGGGTACAAAAATCATGGCAGTGGTATTTAACATTTTTGTCACTCATGACCTTAGCTTTCAAGTCTTCAAATATTATTTTTATTGACATTCTGTAAAAACACAACAGCCAGGGTATTAATAAAACATTCCTCTCCATATGATATACTCTTTCATTACAGTATAGATTATGTAAAACTATTTCTATAATTTGTTTACCAAGAATATGCAAAACTGAGTTACTTATTTCTCATGGTTATGACCTCTAGCTAGTATAGTAATCATTACTGCTAACATTAAGATTCAAGAGTTATTTTCTGTTCACAAATACTTTTCATAGAGAGGCATAAATTCCTGTTTTCATACATGGACAATTATCAAAATAATATTGTTTAGCAAAGCTAGACTTTGATATATTCATACAAAAAACCACCCTCTTCAGATACTCTTAATATAAATATGTGTATATATATCTCTATATATATGCATATATTTATATGAGAATATATAGTATAAACGTATATTAATATTATTTCTCTATATTAAAATATATATTTATTGTTTATATCTATATATAAATATAGATAGATATTTAAAATATTATTCCTGGAAATTAAGAACAGAAGAGCAATTACCAGTACAAATATTTCCCTGTGTAATCTAATTACAGCTCAA